GGGCAACGTTGAGGGTGGGCAGGGGGTCATTACCCTAAAACTTCAGCCTCCTAGACTCAGTGGTTCCCGAGATATTAATTTGCCCGTAAAAAACTTTCACGGGGCCATACGTGTTACCCGCCGGTACGGGGAAGCTGAATTTAAATTTGCGGAGTCACATGAGTGGGTAAAGTTCCCCTAAATTTTCAGCTTCCTAGCTTTTGTGGTTCCCGAGTTGAAAGTTGCGAACAAGTTGCTGCGGACACACACAGACAACCCCGTGACAATTTGCGTTTTGTACTGCTGTTACACAGCACAAAACGCATAACAACACTTATCACTGATTTTGCGTTACTGCATCAAACACTCGCAGTAGTACACTGAGTGTGCACGCACAGACACACACCCACACACACACTCACATATACGCACACCCACACACACTTAAAGAAAGAGTATATAACTGGTGATAAAGCGTACTTCGAGAAACCCTGTTTCATCAGCTTATGCACAGCGATTCCGGCCGGGACATGGGGCTTCTCTTTCTCGGCTTCCTGTTTCTTCTCACGGCGTATCTTTTTGCCGGCACCACCACCAGCTCCACCGATACTCGGCTTCTCGGCTCTGGCAGGAGCTGCTTTCATTGGTTTTTCATCAGTTTTCTGTGCCGGCAATGGCTGCTGGTTGTACTGTTGCATATCATAGATACTTCGAATTTCCCGGCTTTCATGGTATTCCTCCTGAGGCACTGCCGCTGCTGCTGCTGCCTCACCACCACCACCAAAACTTGACTGAAACTGGTTGAAAAATTCCAACAGCGGTAACGAGAACTTCTTGACATTCGTTTGTTGATCTGTAAAAACTAGACAATGAAAAACGATGGCATTAACATCGAACTCATCAGAACCCATAGGCGGGTCCAGGATGGACTCCTGAAAGGAGCGTTGGGGGGAGATGACGAGGGTAGGGAGGAGAGTCCAGTCTCATCCTGGAATAATGCAAAAACTAGGAATAGAGTCGTAACACCGTCACTTAGAGTTACTTTAGGCTTTAGTTTACTTTAGTTTTAGCTTCAAACCCAAGTTTTTGCAGCACTGGTGACTGTTCCGCCGAAAGATCCTTTGCCTCCCTCCCCCCTCCCCTTGGATTCGCCTTATGTCAGTACCTGACGGCACATGATCTATAAATCTCTTCTTGTTCGGTTCAGCTGATACCTAGCCAGCGCAAAAGTAATGTAGCGAAACTACACATGTGTATATGGTTCCGTTATATTATCCACATATATATATATATAAATGAATTTTAACAAATACAAAAAAAGTTTTTTAAACGATTTACAAAAAAAAAAGTCGTAAAAAACTGAATTTTCAACAAAATTATGACAATTTTTCTACAATTAACAAAAAAACCAAAACCACATGGGCAAAATCAAAAATAGCTAATATAACTGGAACTTTGTAAAAACTAGGATACCAGTTGAAGTTGTGGCGGTGGTGGTAGAGCTGCCGTTGTTGCTGCTGCTGCTGCTGCTGCTGCTGGTGCTCATCCAACGTGGTGGGCCGTTCGGGAACAGAAGCTCCTCGCCCTTCGTTTTCACCAACACTTGCTCATCACGACAACGATCACAGAAAAGTGGGTTGTGCGCCAAAATGCTGTTCAAATCCGCATCGGCTGCATGTAATGCACAACGTGAAGCTGCCTGTGAACCACGCCACTCATCGCCCATTGTTGTTGTAACAACTGCGAAAATTGGCACTTTTCAGCACAATATATGCATAAAATGCCTGGAACAAATTTGCATACGGAATAATGGATTTGGGCACGTGATAAGTGGTACTATCAACGCTTACAACGCAAATTTGCACGTTTCCACAACAACGATCCAGTGTAGTGTTGTGGTATTGTGGAGGCGACCCAGACGACTCACGAAGGATGCGGACCCTACGAGAACGAACTATCGCCAACATAAATCTTTTTACAATTAAAAATACGCATTTCCAAGATGTATTCACAGCCCTCACCGTGCCCATTCTTCAGCAACGCTGTGCTGACAGCAATGACATACGGATGCGAAAAGTGGTCACTGACGAAAGCAGAAGAGCAAGCGCTGGCTCTGATGGAGAGAGCGAGAGAACAAAGGGACGTTGTTTTCGTAAAGCGCCTCGGTTTCTGTGGTGTCTCGCGCGCTTTGTTCGACCCATGTTCCCATCACGTAATCACAGTTCTCACCGTGCCCACTCTTCAACAGCGCTGTGCTGACAGCAATGACATACGGATGCGAAACGTGGTCACTGACGAAAGCTGAAAAGCAAGCGCTAGCTATGATGCAGAGAGCGAGAGAATGAAGAGTGACTTGCATATTTCTCAACTGCGACCATACAAACAATCAGACTCTTCGTCAAATAAGTGGTGCACAAGACATCGTTGAGATCAGTAAATTACAATGGACAAAGCATGCTGCTCATCTTACTGCGCATTAATATATGATGCCTGTGGGAAATAACCGATCACTAAGGCGACCTTCCAAGGAGTATAGACGGAACAGGCGGTGAATAATAAGGTATGCGAAATACACATTCCCATCACGTAATCACAGCCCTCACCGAGCCCGGTCTTCAACAACGCTGTGCTGAAGGCAATGACATACGGATTTGAAACGTGGTCACTGACGAAAGCTGAACAGTAAGCGCTGGCTGTGATGGAGAGAGTGAGAGAATGAAGAGTGACTGGCATATTTCTCAACTGCGACCATATAAACAATCAGACTCTTCGTCAAATGAGCGGTGCACAAGATATCGTTCGGTCAATAAACTACGCTTAAGATTGCAGTCTTTAAGCTTTTTAGGTTCTTGAGTTGGCGGCTTACCCGTGAAAAAATTTCACGGCCACGTGCGTGGGTATCACGCATACTCGACGTCTGGGTTCGACGCCTGGGTTTGAGGCTGTTGAGGCTTAAGCATACTGCTCGTCTTACTACGCACTAATAAATGATGTTTGTGGGAAATAACCAATCACTCAGGCGATCCCCGAAGGAGTACAGATAGAACAGGCGGTGAATAATAAGGTATGCGAAATACACATTCCCATCACGCAATCACAGCCCTCACC